TTTGCCAAACTTTTTTTCCCTCCCTTTTCAAATCTCGTATTAGCAATGGATTCTATTTAGACTAAGTGAAAATAGCAGTATTTTTAGCAATATGCTATTTACACTAAGTGCAAATACCTAGTTACACTATGTTAAAATAGCAGGATTTCTACTATCAAGTATACTACTTGTTGCAAATAGTGGCAATTATCTGCACTTCAGTATTGTAGTACATTATAAAACAGTATGCAATAATAATGTATTGAGTGTAAATTATAATTTTAATTATTAAATGGATGCCACCTTATTGGTACAATAAAGCCCTCCCTAACCCTACCCGATACTTTATTTTCAACTTTTTGATTATTTCCTTAATTTTTATTGAAAATAAATGCCTTTACGATGTAATACAAGATTTGAAAAGGGAGAAAAAAAAAGTTCAGCAAAAGGTGGGATCGAACCCGGGTCGATCACGTCAAAAAGCCTACAGACACACACTTATCCATCTGTGCCACTGGAACCGATGATTAATGGGCACTTTTAACTAAATGTAAATAGACACCCCATATGTTTTATTCCAGAGTAAGGGCAATTCATACAATACATTTAAACTGAGCTACTTTAACACCATCTCCGAACTTTCTACAACGACTCTACTGTTCTTCGGCTGGTTCTTCCCTGTATACGTTGATTGACAGATGTCTCGTCCAGTCAGCGGTGAGTAATCCCAAACCAATGGCACTGTCTCAAACTATACCTATCCCTTCCGGTGTGTCTGATTTGTCCTTGTGTTTTCTGACTTGTTATTTTGTTTTCGGATTTGTCATTGTGTTTTCTGACTTGTTATAATGTTTTATGAATTGTTGTTGTGCTTTCTGAATTGTTATTTAGTTTTTTAGACTTGCATTTGCGTTTGTAATTTGTTATTTTGTTTTCAGAATTGTGATCTGCTTTGCACTTCTCGGCCACCGTAGAAATGTGTGCGTGCGGCGCACTCCAAAACGGACAAGCAAATTACACTTTGAGCTTCGGGCGCATGTCCAATCGATCAAATACACACAAAAATATTTCAAAATGGCCAGCTTGGAGAGTATTTACTTAAACACAGTTTATGTCTTAAGTGGAGGAGAACAGTTGGGAGAAAATCCGATGTGTGTCAATATATTGTCTTAAAGTGACAGACTGGCGCTTGGGCCATCAAAATGCAAATTTTAATCTGAATAACGTTATAGCTTTAATAAGCATTAATCTATCAATACATACACTGAAAACTATGCAGTGTTCATTTACATTTGATTACTTTTAGATTTATTTTGTAGGCTATTACTTACCTGAACAGTAATGTTAGTAGAACTTTGAAGACTTTCATGGAAAAATGACAGCACTGTTTATTTCATTTCATTTGTATATTTGTTTTATTGTATTTGTCAGTTTGTTTTACTTTGTTTACTATGTTCTTACTGTATCTTATCTTATGTATAAAACACTAAAAATGCCTGCACACTGGTGCATTTACAAATTGATGTTTTATATTCATTTCATTAAATGTTTATTTTACATTTCAGAATATAAAGCAATGTTAATTCAGCTCTTAATTTGTCATATATACATATATATATATATATATAAAACAAAAAGTACCGATAAGAATACCGTTAAAGTACCGAATTGATAAGCAGTATCGATAAGAGTAGTAATACCGTTAAAACCTTAACGATACCCATCCCTACTTAAAACACACTTTTCACACTAACGAAACTATTTGTCTACTAAAATTGGACATACATGCACCACATTAGAATTTTTGTCATTTTTAAGGAAGTTATTTGGTAAAAAAAATAAAATAAACTTGAAACTTTAATAGGGCAAAATTGGTTTGGGGGAAATTATTTTCACAAATATAGAAATGGTTTATGTATATTTGATTCTATGTATATTAAATTATGTAATTTTAATTTTTTGTGATTGACTTTTATATTTTAATATTAAATGTCGGGGGACATGCGTATGCGACAAAAGGCATGTAAGAAGTAGAGATAAAACGTTTCATATGACCATGATATAACAAAAAGAAAAATGTTTGACCAGTTTTAACAAAATCAGTCCTTGGAACGTAAAATTACCCAAAGTTGAAGAAACACCATTATATTGTCTAATGTACAGATACAGAGGCTAATACTGTCTGATTATGGTTTCAAGGCTCTCTGAGATATTCTGCGTTTGATGATAGTTAGGGAAAGTACAGCTTTATTGCTTTGTGTAGACTCATCATTGTCAATATTATTGCAACAAGGGAACATAATGTTTTAAGACACTGCCAGAAGTAAGGTTATTTTTGTTGTCTGCATTAACCACAACTTCCTTATATATAGAAACAATGAAAGGAAGCTGCCTGTGAGACCCTTGTTTTTAAGGTAGTGCAGAATGGTTACATCAGATTTTAACCTCTAAATAACACACATCATTCTGTGCACAATCCAGTCATCACCAATACCTGTCACTTGACACGGATTCCCTTATAAATTTGGTTACAAAACTCAAGCCAAGTGGGCATCCTCTAGACTAGAGTGAGGGCAGATAATAACAGTTGCTGTGTGGGTTTCATTGTCATATTCAGCTCTGTGTTGTAAGCTACTCTGACACAACATGCCCACGGCATCTATGAGAAAATGCCAGATCTGTCATATCCTGGAAGCATGAAAAGCTTCTGTTGTCCTCTCCTACTGTGACATTTTCATTGAGAAAGACCATGTGAGCTTGAGCTTTTTGTTGCCGTTCATTCTTGGTGATGTATTCATGAACTTTGTGTAACTGAAGCATTCTCATTTACAATGAAATCCTGTCACTTCATTTTGCAACTGTTCAGACAGTTTGTTCATGGACTATAAATGACAGATTGTTGATCTGATTTGAAGCAAACCACTTTTAGGTGGTATGAATCATCATTTTTCTTGGCACACTTTTTTACACAAAATTTCCTTCATTTTCAATCTCATTGACGGCGCAGCTCTCCAAACATCATTATTCTTGGTTATGAGAGATTAAGTGTTGCTCATATTTTCCAGCTGCAGCGACTTCTAATCCTTGTGTGCAACAATACATTTTCCTTTTTCCTGTTATTCAGAGGGCACTGTTATTCTGTTTGTGTTGATAACCGGGAAGAACACAGGAAAAGATTAGCACTGTTTACTTTAAAAACAATGAATGATATTTGCATCTAAAGCAAATGTATTTTTGATGAATCATTTTATTGAAGCATTCACTGCAGAATTAAAAACGCGGAATGCTCGTTATTATATATTCAGTCTGTCTGTCTTGATGTTCTTAAACTGATTGTTCTTGCACTATTCAAGAAGATCATACTGAATACTAAAAAGTACATTTTCTGGTATTAAAATGCCAAATTATAGTTTTTTTTAAGCTGCAGGTTTTAAAAGAAATTGTTTGGCGAGCATATTTTCTTTATTTTGATGTTTTTCCTGTTGAAACTGGAAACTAGATTAGATAATTTAGCTCCACATCTTTTGTTACTATGTTTTCTGGTATATTCAACACTTTTCAGCAGAGTAATGGCAGTGGCCTGACTGAACCGCTACAGCACTGACCCCTAGTGTTCCTGTAGCTTCAGTAAACATAAGTATGCTTACAGTTGAGGATTTAATAAGAATGAGATTATTTCTTAAATATGCATTGAATACAGTATATTAATTGGAAAACACAAATGATAGCTGATTTAAAACACTTTATGCAAGCTTCTCAACAAGAGCTTGCATAATCGAGAGGAATGTAGACTTGCAGCTTGATGTTTTTTGAATAATCACATGTCAAGATTTCAGCGTATTGAGAAAATTATTTCCAGATAGCAAAATATTGCTCTGTGGGGGAAAAAATAAGGAATTCCAACATATCTAGGCAACTAGAAGCAAAAATGAAGACCTTCACTCTTTTATGGGGTCTTTGAATTATGGTGTCTGTCTGTGTACCATGTAAATATGTCTGCATCTATCTATCTATCTATCTATCTATCTATCTATCTATCTATCTATCTATCTATCTATCTATCTATCCATCCATCCATCCAAAAGTATATGTGTACATATTATTCATATAGTTGCTCAGTCTATGAATGAGTCTGCCAACCAGCACTTTGCATATTTGTAGAAAAAGCACTAGTGTCTTTTATGTGATTTTTACACAGGGATGTACTCAAGTTATCAGTTGACTATCTATACAACTATTGTTCTAATTTAAGCAAAGAACTTCACCTGAACTGTTTAATAGTTTTCACTACAAATTAGTTTAGGAAGTACATAGATAATTTAAATAAATCTGTACTTTGCATGCAAATGGTGAACTAAAATATGCCTTGTTTAATGAAACATCACATATTCACATTTAAAGATCACATGAAGAACATATAAATGCATGTGATTTTTTAAATCACAGTAAGTGCGTATTCAGTAGCTTACTGAAAATGTAAATACATTTTTATAAATATTCACACATGCTCATTACATTAAACATTAAACATGTTCATATTCCTAAAAACAAATTGTCCAAAGAGTAGATGAAAAGACCAACCGTATTTAAATGATAAAATATTTATTTTATTATTATTATTCACATGGGGTAATTAATCTTATACCGATCAACCTCTTATATTCAGACAAAATTTGCAGTAACAGTCCATCTAAATGTCTCTATTAATCTATGATTAATTTCTCATAGAAAGAGAAATATCTTTTGTTTACAGTACATTACCTACCTTTTCCCATTTCCTTTATAATCCAAGCCATTATAAGACATACATATATATTTATGCTCCACAAGAACATGAGAGCAATATATGGATTTCACAATGAAAACACTTTTATGCATTTATACAAACAACAGAGAATCTACATGACACAGTAAAGTGAGGTTCGTGTGCACACAGTGAGTGTCCATGTTTCCCTTTGTTGTTCTTCAGTTTTGAAAAGCAACGACTTGTTTTGTCTGTTCTTGCTCTTTATCTTGGGCCAAGGTTGGTCGGAGGACTTTTAGATGTTGTTGAACCTTTCTTGTTGGGATAAGCTTTAACGTTCCCTTTTGGTTGAACTTTCAAATAGAAATCCAACTGGAAAGAACAAGAAAAATGTTAGTCTATTACTGAAAAAAGTCAGTAATCAATAGTGTATTTGTGATGTTGTTCATCACCTGTACAGCTTCAGCCGGTCCCACTGTTACTGTTTTGGTAAAAGGTTGGTAACCTAGTGCAGAAGCCGTCACTGTGTAGGTACCCGGCAAGAGCAGACGGAAATAGTCTCCATCCGTTCCTGAAACAGCATGAGATACATTAAATTAATTATTAAAGCTCTCTACAAAATCAGCTTTTAAATGTAGAACAACTCTCACCGCTGGTGATATCATGGTTTATGCCAGCCACAGAGATCACAGCATTGCTAATTGGGTTGTTGTTCTCATCATAGACCATGCCTTTAATCCCATGGTGCACCTGGAGGTCAAGAGACAGTCCAGATATATGTCAATTAAGCTTTTGGTTATGGTCAGGCACTGCACTTAAAGTGGTAAACCGATTCCATCCATTACTTTAAATGTGCTGCTGAGAGGTGTAGAGTTACTTGAACTCACAACAAGACCCCTGAAGCACTATATCAATTTCACATTATAAGTATCTAGGGACAGGTTCATTACCTGTTAGTGCCATGGAGAACCAATTTGTCCTTGTTACTTGTATTTTCTAGAATACTGTCCTCCTTTTTCTTGTTTGCTTTTGAATACAAAGCTCTTTCTCAATTTGTTCAATGTTTTGAATGCAGAAATGGAGTTTGAACTTCTACTTGTTTCATTACAGGCAGACATAGCTGAGACTAGAGCAGTGAAACAGTCAAATGTGAGAAGAGTTCCTCACCTGCTCCATGTAGGACACCAAAGCCTCTCTGTTGGCCAGCCACTCACTGGCGAGAGCCGTCGCTGGAGGAAACTTATCACAGCTGAGCTCCAGAGTAATCTCAAAGCAGTTTGTGTGGAGGTAGTTGAAGTCTTGCATCCCTTCAGAGACATTGAGCGATAATTCTTCTTAAAGGGTTAGTTCACCCAAAAATGAAAATTAGGCTGCGTTTTACTCACCCCCGAGGCATCCTAGGTGTATATGACTTTCTTCTTTCAGATGAATCCAGTCGGAGTTATATAAAAAATTGTCTTTGATCTTTCAAGCTGTTTAATGACACTCAACGGGTGTTGCAGTGCTTCAGTTCAAAAGAAGTGAAATAAAAAGTGCCCATCCATTAAAAAAAAGTGTCTTACCTGGCTCCATCCTCCTGGAGCTGCTTCTGTGTACAACTGTTGGCGCAAGCTAGATTAAAGTGATTATTACGTTTTGAATATGGATATTTTTTGTACAAAAATGCATCGATTCGCTACAGGAAGCCTTTATTCACCCCTCGGAGCTGTGTGAGATACTTTTTTATGGATGGGCGCTTTTTATTTAACTTCTTTTGGACTGAAGCAATGCAACACCCGCTGACTGCAATGATAGAGCTTGAAAGATCCAAGACAATTTTTAATATAACTCCGACTGGATTCGTCTGAAAGAAGAAAGTCATATACACCTAGGATGCCTCGGGGGTGAGTAAAACGCAGTCTAATTTTCATTTTTGGGTGAACTAACCCATTAAATCACACATTAAATATATATTACATTCTTCAGTGTTGGCCAGGGTCAGAAATTAACCAGTGTTGGAGTCAAAAATGCCACAAAATAGGAGAAAGATGTTCACTGTTTTTTAAATCAAATATTTCGTAATATTTGTATTGCGCTCCTAAATTAATATTTTCAAGAAAAACGATCACTCATACACAAAAAAACATCTGTGTACACAAAATACGAACAAGAATACTGTTCACATGCTCATGCTTTACCATTCTCTGCTGTATTTTTTCTTTATGCAAAAGTTTTGTTTCCTTTAATATTTAATATAAGTTTTGTAATATGACCTTATAAATGTAAAAAAAAACTACCCCCTATAAATTAATTTTAAAATCAATTTGAATATTGGCCCAAGAAGAAATAATTTATTGACTGGCATACAGCTCTAAACTAGAAAACAATCTTGTTTCTTTTAAAATAAAAGTGCTTGTAATTCCCAAATTTCAGCTAAATTCTTCTAGATGAGACAAAACCACAAGCCTTGTTGAAGTAATTGAACGAGAACCGTGATATGTAAAATATAACCCACCCTTAGACAGAGAGTACCAGCTGGCTCCATTTGTGATTCCTTCATCAAAGTAATCGCCGCAGTTCCAGCCCTTATGCATCCAGCTGTGGCCGTAGGAGTACGTCTTTGCCAACTATACACACATAGTGCATAAACACAAAAATCTGTAAATATTCACCAGAAAATTGGGGGGAAAACAACAGCCAACTCTTTATTAGTTAAAGTGTATGATTTCTGTGCAATTACTCTGCTGGGAAAAACCCCATCTTAAATCAGTCTAAGCTGGGCTTTTTGTCTAAATTGATCTAATTTGGCTGGTATTTCTGGGATTTTGGGCACTTTTCAGCTGATAAGACATCCTAAACCAGCACCATGGAATGGAGTTGCAAAAATAATGACTGAATTCAAACAGGTTTCACAAACACTCCCTCCATTTGCCATTGGTCAAGCTAACAGATAACCCTGCCCCCCAAAACACACCATTGATTGAGTCTGTGTTGCCTCTGTAATGGTTTGATAGGGCCACAGAATCACAGTGATTACACTTTTTCAGGAAAAAAAAAACGTATATATGCCCTACTTTTGCCAACTGTTTCTGGACATTAAACTTTTTAGAAAGTAGAAAATTATACACTTAATGTTTAAATAAAAAAACAACATACCTTTTTGAATATTTTATCATCGGGGGTAGCCGAGTTAGATGTTTTGCCTCTTATCCGGGGTTCGCGAGAGTTATCAAAGGGGTAGTTAGCGACTACAGCGCCACCGTGGAGGTTAGCCGACAGAACAAAGTTGTAATTTTGCATCCATTTTATCACTGCTAAAGTCTCTGGCTCAACCTGTAAGAACCAAGAATACAGAGAAAAAACGATTAGAAAACACGCATGCTGTGTGCATTATTTCAGGCTTTGTTTTACATTTTTTTTGCCATGACACAGCGTTCTGGAATATTCCTTCAAAGCTGTTATCTGAGAAATCTGACATGTGGTAATGTATCCCACAAGAGTTGAAGGGATAATAAACCTCCACCTGGCCCTGTTGTATTAAGTAAGATCAGTCTGGCCAGCTCCTTAGAGATGGCTGCTGGGTATTGATCCGTTCTTGCTCTGTTTTGAGGAGACGTTGTATTTATTATGCATGGATCTGTATATATAAACATCCAAGGGTCCCTTTGGCCTCAGCTGTCATTGACGAGTCGGGTTTCGTGCTGTGAACTCACACAGATGTTTTTCTCCCTGCTTAGCTCTGTGTAGTGCGAAGCCCACGCTGGGGTCAGAGGTGTCACGAGTGGGGTTTGATGTGAGAGTGACAGCTCTTGACTCACAGAGAAATGATTGGAACGTGTCATACTCCTCCAACTGCAGTTCTTCTGTTGTTGTCCTGAGGGATGTCTGGCTGCCAGTGAACATACTTACTTCTCCAAAGCTGGAGTTCTCATTCTAGACTGAGGAAAATAAAGAGTTGTTCCTGGAAAGAGCTGTTTAAATGGTTTGTATTATTCTGATGGGCTCCAAAAATCTGGCAATTATTACATAAAACCAAATTCTGTACTATATTTCAAATAGGCATATTTGTGAACTAATTTGTGCTAAAGGTCAAATGCTTCTGCTTCCACTGAACCACAAGATTTTCTTTGTAACATTCTTAAGTCATGATGGATAGCATGGATCCTCGCAGATGAGATTGACTTTATATTACTCAGCAAGTTGTGAAAGGCTAACCAAAATATCCAGAGCTCATGAAGACTAACAGCAGTACAGGCTAAAAAAGTTCTTTAGACAGGCCAAGGCTCTCTATTTTGTGAAAGGTGGGCCTGTTGGCGGTTGATAGATAGCAGGATGAGAGCTGGGTGGGTTACTGACAGACTAATGGAGAGCTTAATTTTGCCGTCCAAATGTAAAAACAAAAACGTTTTTCTTTGCAATGCAGGATACTGGCTTTATCCTGTATTTTACTTCAGATTGGAACAGTGATTTTTCTGTGTGTATGCACATTGTTAGGGCAATAAAAAAGTCACCCCATGAAAACATATACAGAATGTTGCTATGATGAAAGCAGCAACACCAATGTCATGGCAGAACGACCCACAGATAATTGAATCTGGGATTCATTCCCAGTCTTTCACAAAGTTCTACACATTACTCATTACATGTTTATTTAATTAGCAAATATTTTGGACAATTTGAGATTTGTGTACTTTTTTTTTAGTGTCATTCCTCAGATTTTTTTCCAAAATCAGTCTGATAATATGTTTGATTTCCCAAGGAAATAAATCAACAATACCAATTTCCGCTTCCTCTTAAAGATTTTAGCTCCAATAATGATTCTTTTTTGCCTATATTTTGAATGAACAGTATAGAAATGACAGAATTAATATTTATTAAAAATACAATTGTTTCAAAAGAACATTTCATTCATTTTTGGAATCAGACTAAACTGTCCGTGCTTTGTGTTTTTGATTGGCTTATAAAAGTCATGCAACTCAGGAATCAGACTACACTGGTTGTGCTGAAGGTTTCTTTACTCACTAAAAATAATGCATTTGGTTTTAGTATTACGTTGAAAACAGTTGTGCTGCTATTTTTGTCTCTTTTTTTCAGGATTATTTGATCAATAGAACAGCATTCAAAAGAACAGCATTTATTTGAAATAGAAAACTTTTGTAACATGATGTCATTTTTCATCAATTTAACACATCCTTGCTGAATAAAAGTATTACTTTCTATATTTAAAAAGTTTTAAAAAGTATTATTTAGTATCTATTTAATAAAAATAAAAAAAATCACACTGACCCCAAACTTTTGACCAGTAGTGTACATTAAATGGTTAGCATATGGCCTTTCATGTATACAAACATTCTGTGTTATCGTAACTCTTGCAAAGTGTATCTTATATTGTCTGAACATCTTTCCGCACTTTCAAATCACTACACAAGCTCCATGACTAATTGCTTGACTGGTCTCTCCCACTCATCTCATTCTGAGCAGACAGCAGTAGTGTATGTGACACTGATTGATGCCCACCTGTAGTTCCCAGTTGTCAGGCAGTGGCAGGTGGTGGTTTTGGCCATTGTGCCTCTCGTAGTAATACATAAGAGCATTCAGGTCTGGGAAGTTGCGGTTCAGGTCCACCTCCTTTGCGTTTCCACGTCCCACTAAGTAGCCGTTGAACTCTGGACCCTGTAAATCAGAGAAAAGAGCAAATCATTTCCTATCCTTTAAGTAACCTTTGGGGAGAAATATCACCTTTTAACATTCTCAATATGTCAGGTGTGAAACTTATACCTCAAGTGGTTTATTGTGCTTCAGTGTATTGCGTAAGCGAGCTAGACGATGTTAAAAAAATCCTGTCTGATGCTGAGGTGGTTTTTCTCTGCTAGTTCATGTCTGCTCCAGTGAGACGCTTGATAACTGGGTGTGTGTGGCTACATTCAACATTCACCAGATCAGATCAAGAAAGAGTCCCTATTACTGTAATTTTGCATTCTATATGTGTGAACGTTGTACAGTAGGTGTATGGATGCTTTGTTCTAGAAAAAAAACTTTGTGTGTATTTTTGTGTGCATTGTTTTATATTTGGATGTTATTTTTGTGAGTTCTTCTGGTGTAATTAGTCTCAGAAGAAAGTCAGCAATGCACTCTGGGATATGGCTGATTCCTTCATAACAAACTGGGTGCCACCAGAGACTTACAACACTCCCACGCCACAGCTGCCATACTGAATAAATAAGTGTATACATATGCATGGTCACGTTCACACCATGAGCTGTTGGTCATGCATTTAGAAATGTGCCATTTTAGTACACTTGTTTTACAATGTAGATTAGCTACTAAAGGCTGTATACCTGCCTGGCTGCAACCTCATATCCATCCGGGTTCATCGAAGGAAGGATGTGGATCCGTGTGTCATGGATGAGGTGCGTGATTCGCTCGTTTCCTGCCCGATATTCCTCGCACAGGAACTGGGCTAAGTAGATGAGCAGCTCCCTGCCAAGCACCTCGTTCCCATGCATGTTCCCTATGTACTTGAACTCGGGCTCCACTGAAAAACACAGGTCAGGTGACCACCAGTCAGGAAGTCATGAGGTCATAGGGTCACATCTGTGAATAGCATGCAAGCAAAAAAGTTCTATGCATGCATATGAAGCAGTTCAGAAGCAACAACTGCATAAATTGAGAGCCAATATGCATATTAAGCTCTAAAGGGTTGCCTACTAAAAATTTTAAGAGATTTTGTCATAATTTTTCAGTTTTGTTCCAAACCTGTATGACTTCCTTTTGTGGAACGCAAAACAAGAAAAGTACTTTTTTTAATACAATGAAAGCAAATGGAGATATGGTCTCCAGAGAGCACCATACAAGTAGTTCATACAACTTAAACATTACATTATTTTGCCTTTTTAAGACATATATGACTTTTATATGAGGAACAGACCTTATTTATTTACAGAAAATTATGGCACAACATGAGAGTGAGTAAATTATGACAGAATATTGACAGAATCATTCTACAATGTGCAAGTGTTTGAGTAAGATGACACCATAAATGCTAGTATCAAATATGAATGAATTCAAATTCATAATTTTCCTCCAACAAAAGCTTTCTGAGTGTTTAACAGTGCAGCAGGCCACTTTCATCGAAATTCCTGTCTCACAGCCAGTTGTCAGTTCATTATTCACAATTATCTCTTCTAACAAGTACCAGCAGATTTCCGTTTGTTCTTTTTTGATGTGGAAGTGAGTGACGGCGAGATCGCAAATCTAATTAGTCACTGTGTGCAGGCAGACTCATAACGGTCTTCCCATCAATCATCAAATAATTCAATTAACAGTGCTGTGCCTCTGCTCAAAGAGTCACTAAAAGAGTGACCTCGACATTAACTCATGAAGCGCAAACATTTTTCGGGATCTAAAGGGTCAGGTCACAACGACATTGTCCACTCTGCTGTACCGGTTCCTGTTTTTGTACTGCATGAGGAACATGTATACATCCTGCAATTCTCTCAGGGGTTTTACCTTTGTACTCATATTGCCAAGAGAGGCAGATCTTTGTCACTACTCACTACCATTACTTTTGCCAGACAAGCCATTTGGCTTAAAAGTCAACCTAAAATCAAAATGCACATTTCTTATATATATATACAGTATATATATATACACACACACACACACACAACATTTTGATGACATGCACCCTGTGTGTGTGCTGTCAAACGATTAATCGCGATTAATCGTGTCCAAATAAAAGATTTGTTTGCATAATATATGTGTGTGTTCTGTGTATACTTATTATGAATATATAAAAACACACACATACAGTATATATTTTGAAAATATTTACATGTATTTACATGTTTATATTTATATTCATATAATTTATATTATAAATAAATATATTTAATATATAGCTAACATATTTTTCTGAAATATATACATGCATGTGTGTGTATTTATATATACCTAATAAATATACACAGCATACATACATATATTATGTAAACACAAACTTTTATTTTGGATGCGTTTAATCATGATTAATCGTTTGAGTCTGACAGCACTAATATACAGTATATATATATATATATATATATAAACTGATAATGGACAATTCTTATTTTTACTGAATATTTCAATTTTTATTATAAATGATTTATTCAAACACATCATCTTTATTTTTTTTTTAGATTGAGTAATGCATCTATTTTATACACTATTACAGGGGTGCACATAAGTGGTGCGCATGCGCGACCAAAATAAAAAATGCCCCCTGTAAATAATTTCAGACTCGTAATTTGCGTACGGACATGGTTGACAACTGTTAATCAGTGTTGGGCAGTAACGCATTACTTAGTAACGCGTTACTGTAATTTGATTACTTTTTTAGTAACGGAGTAATTTAACGCGTTATAATTTCAAAATAGTAATTAGAGTATAGTTACAAGCCGAGGTCTCTATATGTTACATTGCTGACAGAATACAGTGATTTATAATCTAGATTGTAAAAAGGATGTAGCACAGCACTGTCGAGTCAAGTGCCATTGGATTAGAGACCTGCTCCCACGAGACCCGACGCAACAGAGTGCGACATGGGATGGGACAAGCATGGGGCGAGTGCTGGTGCTCACGAATTCTCTCATTATAACACACGAATTGTAGACATTATGAAAGATTCATTATGCATATATTTACTGTGTTATAACGATGAACAGATGTCTTTTAGAGATTATAAATGTAGCCGCAGCAGCCGCTTGCTTTAGTTAAAAATAACAGTGTTCTGGGAATGTTGATGCATTAATAACAAATATTTATCGGGAGCGTGTTTGCTGGGATTTCATAAATTTCATGGAGAAAAAAAAGTAACGTAACTAGTAATGTAACTAATTACTAATTACGTTTGAAATAAAGTAATCAGAACAGTAACGTGATTACTTTTAAAAGGGGTAATCAGTAATCAGTAATTTGATTACATTTTCGGAGTAACTTGCCCAACACTGCTGTTAATGCACAATTAGCCTACTGTTTTAAATCGAAAAACTGTAATACTGTACATGTATAAGATTTCTATTCGCACTGAAATCATAAATCTATTCTAGGCTATCCGCTGCCATTTTCAAAGCACAATGCAAAAAACTGAGACATTTCATGCACAGAGGCCCTTCAATCGGCAGCGCAGCGCCAAAATAAAAGCTTGTTGATTTTCAGTTTGAAAATGATGAAAATTCATATTTAAAAAAAGTAAATATTAGCATTTTATTTTATGTTTAGTATAAAATAATTGCATTTTTATTTAATACTCACTTTTTATTTTAAAATATAATATATTATCACACTTTATTATTTTATTTAAAAAAAAACTAAACAAATAAAGTGCAATAATATTATTATCGCTATTATTAATTATCTTTTAATAGTTATATTTAATGGGTCACACTATGTGCAGTGTGAGGACCAAACCTAACCAGGTGCTGTTATGAGAACCAGACTGAAAAACTTATGTGCACCCTTGACTATATACAGCACTATTATAAACTATTAGTAGTGTCACAGTGACACCCAGTGGACAACGCTAATAGCAGCTGTAATTAGAAGAATGCCTGCAAAAAAAAACAAAAAAAAGATCAGTAATTTAGATTATATATATATATATATATATATTTTTTTTTTAGCAAAAATGCATTTAATTGCTCAAAAGTGAAAACAAATATATTTATGATACAAACGATTTGGTAACTTTATTTTACAAACTCAAGTTCATTGGAAACACACAACTTGGACTACATTTCTGCAAAACTCCAAAATGTACATGCACACACATACATAGCTACCAACTTTTGTTCCTTTCTCCAAAAATGTTATGCAATAAAACCCCTTTTTTAAATAAAAGAATCCTGAAAAAGCATCTAAACAGCACATTAGAATGATTTCTGAATGATCATGTAATGATGCTGAAAATTCAGCTTTGCCATCACAAAAATAATTATTTAGATTTTAAAATAAAATAGAAAGCGGTTATTTAGAATTGTAATAATATTCCACAATAATATTGTTTTTACTGTATTTTTGACCAAACAAATGCAGCCTCGGAGAGCATAAGTCACTTGTTTAAAAAACATTGAACAATCGTACATATTCCAAACTTTTAAACAGTATATCAGAAAAAAAAAAATTATGGTCGTAGTCTGAAAGACACCTCTTGTCATTTTTCAAAAATATATAAAACTAATTTTTACACCTGAAATATTGAAATTGGTTCATGATTATTTCACTCAGTTTAGATGATAAAACTTCTGTATAATTGGTATGTTTTATATGCATTTTAATTATGCATTTAATTAATTAAAAATTAAACCTCCAGGTCTGGGAAAAAAAGGTAAAACAATAAAACAAATACATAAAAATAAAGGACAGCATGATACAAAAGCTTCCAAATATAATTGCAATTTATTGTAATTAAATCATCTGTAAGTCTGAGGTTAAAGAAGAGAGAGAAAAAACTTCCATTACCACTGCAGTTACATTTATACTCTGAATGTTTTTTTTTCTATGCATGGTGCGTTGCATCAGCCTCACAAAAAGTGGAAAACAGTTGAACAGGTCTTCAACCACCACATCCTTTAAAAAAATTTTTTTTATTCCCCTTACTCAATCTGAAAAGTTCAGAAATAGACCAGCCTAAATAATACAACCCCATTCTCAAAATAAAAATCATGGCCACCAACCACAAAAGGGCCAAGATGGAGGTTTAACGAGAATGAACAAAAGCGTCAATGATTCAATGATGAATGGGTTTGAGTCAACTCACCCGATTTACTCAGCATTACGAATAGAACATTTAACATCATGCAGTAGTAAAAGCTGCAAATCGTCAGCCCCGTTACAGAATACTCGGCCACACGAGGATCCAGCGGTTTTCCTAAGGGACTTTGGCCAAGTACGGACCCAATCGACTGGCTGTTCGATTTACGACAGGGGAGTTCACCTATTGAGGAATACATCACTCAGTTCTGTGAGTTATCGTTTAGGGTACCTTTTGAGGAGGAAACATTAAAGGATATCTTTCGTTATGGACTGAATGAATCCATAAAATCATGGATGCCAGAGGGTAAATTTAATTGTAGTTTAAAGGACTTTATCGACTATGCTTTGCTGACTGCTGGGTCAGCGTTCACTGTGGGTATCGCGGAGGAACGCGACCCCGCACTCACTCGTGTAATGGTGGCCGTACTAGAGCACGCTCACAAAAAGGCGGCTACAGCGGAGCCTGATCGCAAGCGATTATCACTCTCCTAGTGATAGCTACTCTACAGAGCCCTAGGTTGTTTTTCCCAGCCTTAGCCTTAGCCTAGTTTTGCCTTGCCTTGCCCGTTTCCTTCGGTGTTGATCTCGAGTATTGTTTAACGTTTATCGCTCCCCTAGCGATAGCTACACTACAGAGCCCTCAGTCGTTTCCTAGCCCTAGCCTTAGCCTAGTTTTGCCTTGCCTTGTCT